AGGACGATCTTTCACTATTTAATGTCTTGTCGGTTGATGCTTGTATAGTAAAAGATTACAACTTTCCGAGTTCAATATAATGTACTCGTCATATTTTTAAATATTCTGAATTGATTCACTATGCACTAAATTATAATAACAATACTTAAATACAAACTGGTCAGTTTATCCATTTCTGAAAACGTGCCTGAAATTTCCCAAACTCCAAAGATTGCAAGATTTCGTTTTTATATAAACTATATTACAAGAAGGACATTTATGACATCAGATTAGCTGCAGGTTATTCAATAAAAACTCCATAACACAGAATTGATCTGAAATGGAATATGACGTAAAGCGTAGTCTTGTATTATTTTCTACTTGGTGGCTGTTGTAAAGTCCTAATTTATATTCTTTAGGTCTGCATTCACTGTGCTGCAACAATTGATGATGAAAAAATCAAGCAACTGACATCAAATAATGGAGCCGAAGACAATTCAGGTTTAATGAACACCCAAACTAAATATACTCATATTAATCAGACGTTTGTGTTGATAGAATTACCAATTGTCTAAAATTATATTTCAGAGGATTTAACGATAGAATGGAAGATTCCTGACGTACCAAATGGAGATAATTCGACGATCAATAATGGGACGTTGTGCATTGAGCAAATACGGGTGAAGTTTTAATTCATTAACGAAACTATACATGTATGTCACGGCCCAAATTAATCGACAATGCTAAGCAAAGACGCAGACACGGCTGTGTAGAAAAGAATTTTCGATAAAAATATAGATTGGGGAATATCTTTGACCAGTTATGTTAATATACTGCTCATATACGGGGGTTACTGTTGGAACAACCACCGAGAGATCCGATCAAGGTTATTCTCGCTAATACACTTTGTACAATATCGATGATAAAATAATCGCTAATTTTGGTGCATTAGGCCGCGGATACTGGTGAATATACGTGTATCGCGAAGTCCGGAAATCACACCGACGAAAAATCCATCAAACTAACTGTAAATGACCTGCCAAACAAGGTAAGTAATATAAAAAAATGACCTTCGAACAAAGGAGATGGTTTGGAAGAGAGTTTTGAGAGAGAAAAAGAGTTTTATAAAAGCTGTGAAAAATCACTGGATACTAAGGGCGAAATAACGAAAACTAACTTTATCGCAAATATGCGTATGTATTAGTAGCTCATCTCACATGTCATCTATTTGCAGGTGAATAGATATAGAAACCAAATGGCTGTAACAAAAGGCGGGCCTATACTAGAAGGCTAGAGTTTCATAAAAACAACCCTCGTGGATTCATGCATATTAATGCATCCAACTGGTTAAGCCCCCAACTTTAACGTGATAACGAATATTGATAGAAAGCAAGAGTAATATATATTTTTTTTCAGGTGGCGATTGGTTTGGCTGTGTTCATCGCAGCTTCCATATTACTAGCTACCCTACTTTTGGTGAGATGGTGGTCGGCTGAACTGAGGGCATTAAAGCGCTGATATGAATGTCTGAACATACTGTAATAATTTGTTGTTATCGTGTAATCGTTATAACCATTATTCCTTATTTGACAAACTCATAAGTTCACACTGCCCTAGATTTTTTTATTCCAAGCAACTGGTGAAGATTGACAACCTCACCTGGTAACCGCATAGTTCACAATGTGCAAAAACGATGACACATTCACAATAAAAATTTCAGTAGTAGTATTTTGATAAAAACCTAACTATTATGGCATTGCCACAATTAATTGGCATCATGCTAATTCACAAATATGTGCTATCAACCTACCATGCCTCCCCGTTGTAATGTAATGTTAATAAATCCAATGTTTAGAATGTTAGTTATAAACTTTTGATATAATTGGGGTCCAGTCTGATCTTCTCAAGCGATATTTTGTTCACCCATGGTTGCGTTTAGCGGAGGTGCCGAAACACATTGTTTTTAGACAATGCTTAAACTTGCCTTTCGCTCTGAACAATCCGCCTCTGTTTTCAAACGATGCTTATTCATGCCTCCCGTTCCAAACAAGACCATGTACAAGCGTCACTGATATCTAGCGATATGGGTGGAGCCAGTGATTTCCCTACACCCCCCCTATAGGGGGTGAACACCCCCCCTAAAATTTCAAACACCCCCCCTAATTTTGAGGTGCGATTTCACACTTTATTTCCTAACTCAAGTATAATTGTATTCAAATATAACGAGTATGGCATATTTATCAGTGTAGATGAGGGGTTCTAAACCGCAGTCTGCGGGCCAATTACGGCCGGCGTGACGATTTAAAATGGCCCGCCGAACTTGAGTGAAGTTCTGAAGGAATACAACATTATGCGCCATTATGATCAATTGACGCGCGTATTTCAAAATTTAATTCATTGCTTAATTCATACAAAAGTCAAACACACATGTTCAAAAAAATGTGAAATGTGTAACAAAACAAGCCATAAGTAGCCATTCATACAATGCCAGATGAGCAAGTAACTTCATTAGTCACTATCAGTTGCAAATTACTTGTTGAAACCTAGTAGTATATATTTACGGTTGAAAGCCGTGCTTGTTATCTATTCCCCGGGAATTCTATCAGCTAAATATTATAATTATTGATTTCATTACATAACAAACTGCGATGTTAGGTGTATCTAAAATCAAGCTTAGAGCCTATTTTGGTGCCTATTTCTCAAAATTTTCTCAGGGCGCTTAAGCGCGCCCTGAACCCCAGCCGTGTCGTCCCGCACTTTTCCTCGCTCCCCTTTTCTGGCCCTACAATTTTATTCTGCTGTGGATTTTGGCTCGCCGTCAATCAACTTGGGGGGCCCCTAATGTACATCGTTTCTTAAATATTATTTACCACCCCCCTAAATTTCGAAACACCCCCCCTAAAATAAAAAGCTGGGGAACATACTGGGTGGAGCTACTATTTTTGGAAGAAACGATATCTTTCTGGTTCGTCATCACCCATCCCAACGTTCGGAAAACCGCGGCTCGCGAGAGTTTTTACGCGGCTCTTTTCGACAACATTAATTATTACACAAATTTACTAAGAGAAACTGTAGTGCAACATTTTTTTTTGAAATTTATTAAGCTGTTAATAAAGTTTTTATCAGTGATTAAGACAAGTTATGCTTTGGTATGAACATCGTTGTTGTGTGGAATTTTAAATCAGTCAAGCGACAAATCTTACATCACAATGGTCAAATGTTTGTTGCTGCGTTGGCGGTATTGCAACTCGATTGCGGTTAATCTTCGTTACAGTGCGATACGCATATTTCTGACTTGTGAATGTTGCCCACTCCTGGCTATCCAATGTATTACACCTTGGGTAAGATGGTGCGCATGGGATTTTCAACCCAAAGTTTAACTCGTGATGTCATTGATAACACAGCCAGAATTGCGCAAGAAGGCTGAAAGTAGATACAAGCCACGACTGACAGATGCCAATATGATAGTACAGACAGATTGTTTGAAATATAAATTATAATAATATAAATATCTATGGCAAAGCAACATTAACCAAAGATACAGGGTTAGGGACAGAAATATTTTTGAATGAAAATATTAACGAGCACCAGTCTCGGATGGAGAATACATCACTCACAATATTTTCCACTTTGTCAAAGAACAATATAATTTTGTATAAAAATGCGAATATTTGGCATTGATACTTCAAAATTACCAATATTCTCTATAAATACCGTTACTAGTGAAAACCCAGTTGACCAGAGCTCATCCTTGAAAAAATGTCTAAGCCACATACCCCATAGAGCAGGGGCCGGCAACCTTTTGTCGCTCGCGGGTCAAAATTAAGGGTTGCAAGTCATTGGCGGGCCGCACATACTTGAAGAAAAAAATTTACAAAAGTGACATTCAATTAGGGTGACCATACGTCCTCATTTTGGAAGATTCGTCCTCCTTTTTCGTTGAAAATTTTGTGTTCTCGAGGACGCTCTAAAAAGTCAAAATGCCCTATTTTTTCGCGGGATTAAATATTTAAAATTCTCTTATGATATACTCAACAGTTTTTGATGTGTTGATAAAAACTTGTAATTAGCATTACACATATGACACGCATGACGTAATTCATTGCATTGAGATAGCATACGATACCTTTAGGTCAGCGTTTTAAACGTGGGTTCGCCGAAGGTCCTCTACAATAGTTATATATGATAAAATCTTTCTAGTACCCAGCTTACTAATGAAGAAAAAATATTGAAACTACGATAGTCCATCGAAGATATACAATCTTACACGTTTAAACAACTCGTGAAATGGCTCAGCCGCGTGTAGCTTCGCGCAGATATATTTTTTACTGGACATGTCAATGACCGTTACATCTTGAATTCAGTACATTTCATTAAAACTCATATCAAAATGGCGCTAGTTCATAATGTAGGCTATGTCAATTTCGGCAAAAATCCGTGAAAAAAAAACGCTTTAATCGGCATTCGGATGCAGTTTTGGACACGAATGACTTGAGCTACCAACATTTTTGAGGTATCATTATCATCTTTCGAATCTCCAATATGCAACTTTTATACAACAAAAGATGGTTGCTGCGACACCATTGTGACACAGCAATCACTATCTACACACACAGCGTATTAGTTAGTATCCAATTCTAAGGTTACACCACAATGACCATTTTATATAACCTTGCAAAAAATTAGCTTCCCTTTGTGAAGATCTGATTGCGATCCTAGTTTCAACCGTTGAATGTTCATTTTCGAAAACAATTGTTCGCATGCATATGTACTTGTGTGATTGTGATGTGATTTTTTTTCGAATGGTTTGTAAAATTTGGATGGTGTTTTCCATGAAGAAGATACTTTTTATAATAAAAATAAAGCAGTGATACATATCTTGAATAGAATATAAATTTATTTCCTCATTGCATTGCATCTCAAAAAATTCCATGAATATTTTCTACACCGCTGCGTTTTGTTGCCATTTGTCTAATTATAATTAAATTATAGGCTCATTAAACGAGTGATTGTGAATTATATAATAATTTAGTCTATACCTGTCTCACAATAAATTCTGTTACGTAAAGAATATAATCGCCAAAACAGCTTTTTTGTTACTATAATTCAGTGAAGCATCGCCCGGTTGCCCACCCCTGCCATAGAGGCATACCATACATTTTCAAACAACTATATGTAAGGAACATATTTTGCATGCAAGATTTCATATACAGAATTACGTATAACTGTGGATATCAGAAGAGATTACTTTTAACAAAAGTGTTAACAAAACAGTTCTATAGAAAAAACGAGCACTCAACTTATACTTATAACAAACGGTACAAAAATATAGTTTACTATATCTAGAATTGTTCAAAAATCTTCAGTAGAATATATATTTTGGTTCAGAAATAATGGAAAGTCAAATACAATAAGCAAAAGAGTTTCACAATGAAACAAGTAGATAACGGTAGCTAGCTACCATTTTATATGAATTCCAGCTTATGTAAAAAACATATATGTATATAACAGTGGTAGATTACAAACACAAAAAAATATGCACACTTTCACAATGCCACTTTTCAAAAAGATTTAAAAAAAAGCTAGTGCTCATAAAAACTTCACACTTATAAACTACATAAGCTCAAGAACAAAATAAAACAAACTAAAAGGCACAAATACAAGACACAATATATTACGGTATGTGTAATTTTTGGAAATAGTTTTTATGGGTCAATACTGTTGCAGGATGGAATTAGTAAAATAAATATAAAGAATTTACCTCCTAAGTTATTAATCCATTTCTATGAAATCAGATAATCGAGATTATAATTTTTCCATTACTATATCCTATTTTTGCAGTGAAATCATGATTCATGTTAAACTTAACGAGGTAAGATCAATTGAAATGCAGAGAATTGCATGAAAAGATTCTACCCAGATCAAATATATAAATTCTGATCTATTTTTGTCTTCTGCTTGATGACGACATATCAGACATGTGTGAGTTCACATTGGTATTCCCTGAACTTCCTTTAGAGCCTCGCCATGATGAAGATGAGCTTGGTCTTGAACGAGGTTCGGTGTAAGAATAGGTTGGATTCAAGGGTGGTGGAGCTCCACGTGGGGTAAGGTTGGAAACATCTGGGGTACGCAAGATACGGGGTCGACTACTGAAGACAGTAGTATATTCTTTGATTCTAAATGGATATTGATATGTCATTATGTATACTGGATTTCTAAAAAGGAGTAATGATAGCGTAAAGACAAAGTTAGCGCTCTAAGAATAAAAATGAGATTGGGAACAACACACAATGCTGAATTGCATATTCTATATTTTGGCGAAACACATTACTATACGAATACTCTAATTATAAACTTAAATGGTGGCATAAAGGTAGCACAGCTAAATATTTGCAAAATCTACCATACCCTCATTCTAAACACAATCTTCGTGCATGAACCTTCTAGAAGCACAAGCTACAGACTTTGAAAAAATAATAATAACTTTTGAGGCTCATCACATCCTAATTATCAAAACCATGTTAGGTTACCAGAGTGGTCATGAGATTTCAACCTATTATCATAATATAGCCCACTAAAAAAACTCAACTCATCTCTGTTCAATTTAAACATTCAAAATATTATGTATTTAGATTACTATTTAAATACACAAGGTTATTAAAATAAATCACTATCAGGTTCCTCACCCTTCAGGATCTGTATCCATCATCCCTACTGATGGCTGTGGTAAATCCTGATTGATAGGAGGAGCCACATTCCTGATGACACCAGTTCTTTCTGCCAAAATTTTACTGCTGTCCTTATCACCAGGTAGCTTTCTTATGCTTCGAGAACCCCCAGATCGTACAGATGATGTACTTGTGGGCCTGAGAGAGAAATGCAACAACATGATTCGAAGTTAACTAAATTGCACTTTATACTTTAAGTTGGGTTGCGCGAGGCCACCTCCCTATCTTTCCTCTATGCCTTTGTGCTAGTTGATCTGTATGGGTATACTGCAAGGGTGCTGTAGCTGGAATAAACATGACTATTATATTCAATTTAAGAGTCCAGCTGCACACTAACACAAATGTATTTCTGTAACGTTTCGTCTGACTTGGACAAAACGTTACAGAAATACATTTGTGTTAGTGTGCAGCTGGACTCTTAAATTGAATATACCGTAATAAAAATTATATGTGGCTCATTCATCATGGCACAAATTACCAAGTTACGAGAAAGATTCATCGTGTATATATCACAATGTCTGAGAGCCAGATTTTAATTTTGAAGCTTTTATTAGTTACATTATGAGTCCTGCAACCACTCCAGAATGACATCTTCTAACATTGGGATGCTGGCCACTAGCATATTACAACACAACTTCTTGTCCACTGCAACAAGCTGAGATTATGATTCTATGGATGAGAGATGTCGGAAAATTCCACACAAAAACCTTATGGGACAAGTCTATTGTGAACCCCAGGCTTGAAATAATCAAAAACCAAACACAGAGTCAAGAAACTACATACAGTGGACACTGTAATCACTGGCAGTTTCAAAAAAGTTATTCGCGGACAGCTAAGCACACTAATAGTCGAGGCATTTAGGAGAAACGAATAACGCCAAAATGTGACAAAGCATTAAAGGAAGTGTTCCTCACATTTTAGATTTTAGTACATACCTGCTTCCATCACCAGTATGCTTGCCAGAACTTTTAAGTCTATTTTGAGACAAAGAAGATTTTGTTCCTGTGCCCGGTCGTGATCCGGCACTGGTAGGTGGTCTAGAATCTTTCATTGTTTCACTTGCAGAAACCAGCTGACGTAAATTAAAAAACAATAACGCTTTTACTTTCAATGTTGAGAGTACAAGAAGAATGTTACATTTAGATACAATTTTGCCTAAAGCAAATTTGCAAACTATTGAAAGACAATTCACCATAAATGGCCTTAGACGTTGGCACATCGGCTGAAGGATTATGAGTACGAGTTGATAAAAAGTTAGTGATGGTTGGCTACTAAAACATTTCCTCGATGCTGTCTACTTAAATTCATTTGCCTAAAAACAATATGGTCAAACGCAAACAGTCTATAAATATATACATCAATGAATAGGCCAAATCAATTACGTAATGACCCCGTAATTGCGATATTTTTTTCACACATTTAAACCTATCATAACAACAAATTTAATCCACTCCTATTCCGAATGGGACATCGAAGTTTGGTTTTCATATTCCCGGCAGTACTACACTCCGGCGACATAGGTTAAAGACAAATATCAAGGAGTGATATTCATCGGACTCAACACAATTCTATCCCTTATCTACGGTTAATATGTACATTGGCCATGCTAGATAAGTTGATAATAGGTTAGTAAATGACGCGTTATGCCTTCCCCATCTGCGTAACAAGAGAGAGAAAAACGGCTGCGAATACCGGAACTCTAACTTCTTCTACTTAAACTTTCAATTTTTTACAATCGACGAAATTGACTGCTTTGAAGTAAGCTCGTTTCAATCGCGAAAGCGCTCGACCAATAATTACGACTTTACGTAATTCGTAACTTCGCTTCCGTAACTCAAAATAATTCCAAAAATCCGTAAATTACGTACAAGCCTATCAATGAACTCACAGTGCTAGGATATGACATGGACAAGCTCATGTTTTCGATACGTTCTTCAATTACATCCATACTACCACTGTGAAGTTGTGATGTATCCCCTCCACCTCCAGTAGTTCGATGATGACTGGGAGTCAAAGGTCGCTGCGGAATTCCTCCATCCATAGCCACTGATCGAATAGCTGGGTTCAAGAAATTCTGAAATAAACAGAAAATGAATAGAATTGATAGAATTTTTTTGCATACAAAACTTATTCAAGCCTTTCACTCCAAACAAAATCTTATACAAACATCCACAGATATCTAAATATACATACCGACGGAGCTACTATCATTTAGAAGGATCGAACATGTTCCCAGTTTAGCACTGCCTACTCAATTTATTATACTTTGGGTGAGATGAGGGCATGGGATTCAAATTGAGAATTACTTGTAATTTACGTTGCCAACATCATCACGTCTAACGCTTTAACCGCTAGGGCATCGCTCCGCCCGCATTAATTTTTTTTATATCAAAACTGCTACTTACTGCTGGTTGAGAGTTGGTCATAATTCCCAGATATTCTGAACATAGAAATTTTTCCCCCGACAATTCTCTAGGTCTTAATTGCAAAACTTCATCCTTGTCCAAATCAGCTTCCATGGCATCTTGGTCCTGTTAAATATAGATAAGGGTATGTAAATATATTACATCTGTCTGTCATAGGGAGTGTCTGTAATGACATTATACAGGGAACCCCAAAAACAGAATCCAGCTCATTTGTAACATATTCTAGAGAGAACGTAACTTTTGTGATAAACGTCCTAGATTACTGAAACTTTTGAGTCCAAAAATATCAAAACATAACCTCAAGTTTTGAATAAAATTACTTAATTAGGAAATTTATGAGGTCTGTTTCTAGGTCACCCTGTATTTCCATATTTCATTGGAATTTTTACTTCAAGATGAAGCAAAAACTAATGCAGCATTGGTATACTGTAACTTTATCAAAGGATTAAGCCTAAACAATTGCATTGTTAAGCAACTAGCTACCTCATCATCATCTTCATCATTATCGTCATCCGAATCATTATCAGGGTTATTGTCATTATGAGAATCACCTCCTGCATTCAATTGTCTGATTATAAATTCTAATTGTCTTTTGAATTCAGCTTGCTCTCCTTCCATCAGATCTCTATGAGAATGTAAAATTGTAATTGTAAAAGTGGAAACTCTTATAAGAAAACTTCATAAGATTCCACAAAAAACATTAAGTTAAAACATCACAGGATACATATCTTGAGTCCAAATCCTATGCCTCTCACGTAATTCAGGGTATAATAAATTGGGTAGGCAATGGAAAATCAGAAAAATATCAGACCTTTCCAAAATAGTACCTGCTTACATATTGCTAAATATCAGTGGATGCTTCTAGAAAGCTTCGAAGCGAAGGGCGCAGATAAGAGTTATATAAAAAGCCTTCACTTCTCATAACATTCAAATAAATTTAAAATAAAAAAAAAGCAAATTTTGATAGCCCCAATGAAATGAGAAAGAGACCAACAAACTAAAAAACTATTTGTTCCTTATTATAACTAATTACCGGTATGTACAGAATGTTTATATTTTATGATTAACAACCTCAAGACATCTTCCAGTCCCATATCTTGTGCAACATATCGAACGACAGGATTACTCAGCACACTGTAGAGAGCCCCATTGACATATGGACGAATTTCAGAATTTTCATGAGCTAGTAATTTACTAAGAACCTGTTTCCAAAAAATACAAAACAAATAATAAAAAAAGAGTCTAAAACAATTTTACAATAAAGTATGAAGCCCAACAAAGAAGAAATACTGAAATATGTACTTTTGGCATAGAGGTGGTAATAACACTGTTTTACGCTACATTAACCAAATTTGTCGTTTTTAAAATTAACTAAAATTGTGGAAAAACGAAGACGAATAATAGTCATAGCTGCTTAGGAGTTGATCTTCAATAAGATAACTAAAAATTTAAGAGTGATTTGACCCATAGGAAGTAAATTTTACCCAACTTTAGTATTAAACTAGTAAGATGGACCTATTTGGCCGGCTTGAATCGCAAAATATCCGATTTAAATTAAATATTCTAGTCTAGAGCAACAAGCAAGATTTGTTTACTAACAAGAAAAAAACCTAATTAAGATCAAAACCAGCGAGCATTCTATAGGAACTTTTTCAATTATCAACTAATTCAACAACATTCAAAAAACCATATTTCATATGAAAAACATTATCGATTCTATTTGCACTGATTACTAGACATTTCAAGCAAGGTAATTCATCAGTGACCGGAACATAAATACATGATAATTTAGTGCAATTCGACATATTGTTTGGCAAATTTTACGAGTTACAGATTATGAATTTACTGTAATTAAAACAATATTATATCATCCGAATAACTTGAAGCTTCATTCAAATGAAATTTTTATATACGGTATTCGTAAGAAACAAGATTTCTAACCCTTAAAACATCCTCAGCTAAATCACCACATTTTCGCTTCCCACTTGATCTGAGACATAAATTCATCAACAGTGCAATTGCATATTCCAACATATAGTCTGACAATGTTTCGAATCCCGATAATGTTGTAACTAACCACGCTATCAAGTCACCTGTGAAAAACACAGATTATATAATAAAAGTATAACTATTTCCAAGGTATATGATTCTTTGGGGTAATTTTCTAATTGTCCTAATTTTATTTATTATTTAACAATACTCTGAAATGTGACAACGTTAAATACAAATTTTGTCGCTTCAGAAAAAGACTGCTGGGCAATTGTTTAGACATGCAGGTCGCATCATGGCCGCAGAAGTTAGTAGAGTGCTGTGATGTTGTGGAACGCATTGATAGCGTTCTAATGAATTCGTTACAAAATTAAAATACATCAGTTATCATTATCAGTCAAATAAATCAATGTAGGCACATTTAACTTTTAAATTCACAACAGCGAGGAAAACGCTTCAATTTTTTTCTAATCAGGAGTCATATTGCTCGCTGAGATTCTCATTAAGGGCTGAAAATCAACATCTGTCAAAGAGCATCTATACTTATTGCCGACTTTCGTGCATTCTTATTTCCTACACTAATATACGTCAGAAAAAGAAATAGAAAACATTTTCAAATCAAATTTCTTCATGCATGGAAAAATTTCAGTAGAAAACAGCGACCTGCAGAAGTCTATGATGCTCTGCCTAAAACCAAAGAAAGTTCAGTGCATGTTTTCAATAAGGATCTGAAAAAGTTTTCTTACTTAAATACTCAAATTTGTCTCTCGATTTAATAATTATCTTGATTAAAAATCCTAAGTTTAGCTAAACACTGTGCTTTAATACTATAAATTTATCTGTTTCACATGAAAACTGTATATTGAAGATCATTGGGCTCTTTCAATTTCAATTTTTGTAGAAGTATACTCAAATGTTTTCTCTTTTTTGACACAAACCATTACTCTGTACTTTATCATAGTTCACCTTAACAAAAGTCATTGCTAATGATACTTCCTATCTTTTATTTATTGTTGAATCTGTGATAATCCGATTGCCACATTATTTTCTTTGTGTATTTGAGCCCAATCCAATGAATATTTAATACAAAAACTATTTATTATAATTCATGAATAATTGTAAAAACTAATCTAAGCTGTTGATAATTGTTCTGATTCTATGGACCTGTTGGGACTCCAAACCCCACATGACCTATTAATATCACTACATGCATCTTTAACTTTAATATATTAAATTGCTGACTCACACATATATATTTTATTTCTTCATATGTTTTTATCCGTCATACATAAATAAAATATTGATTGATTTCTTATATACAGCAGTGTTAACTCTAAGCGAATTATGAGTGCGAAAGTGCTTCGCAGTCGAAAAAAAAAGTGCGAAAGTGCTTTTGCCGATTTTAACAAGTTAGGTGCCCTAGCCTTTCATATAACCCATTTAAAACGGCATAGATACTCGAAAAAGCGCTCCTCCGGGTTAATAATATGAATTAAAGAGAAGCCTTTCCGTTAACCTAGTTCCCTTTAAGCGAATTCATGTTTAATTAAAACAAGCGAATTCATCGGCAACGAAAGGACATCTGCTAACACCTGCCGCGGACAAAACTTTCATGCAATGTATCACGGTGTCAGTTGCTTACTCGCGTGAACAGCAAAGGCTTTCACATTTGTTAATCCTTCCATCTAACAGACAGCGATTGATACACGCAGGCTGGAAACCATATTAGTTACAGGGTGGATCATACACCTGCCGCGGACAAAACTTTCATGCAATGTATCACGGTGTCAGTTGCTTACTCGCGTGAACAGCAAAGGCTTTCACATTTGTTAATCCTTCCATCTAACAGACAGCGATTGATACACGCAGGCTGGAAACCATATTAGTTACAGGGTGGATCATTTGTACAAATCCCGTGCAAAATATTTCCCCCCCCCCAAAAAAATATAAATAGCAATCAACTAATTAGGGTTAGGTGCGCTGGAAATTCAACTTTTCGATTTATCCCTAAACCTAATCTGATAATTATTAATTTGTGATTTTGAACCACTTTGAAAGTCGCCACCCGCTGTTTTAAAAGATTGGGCAACCTACGTTCCCTCCGAAATATTACGCAGGATACTCTCCTGTTTTAGGAGATAGGTTGACCTACTTTCCTTTCAAACTTTTTTCTCCGAAATATTACACAAGATCACTTTGAAAATCCTGGTTTCATGAGCTAGCGTGACCTAATTTCTCATTTACATTTATATTAGACTATCTCAGAGCTTACCCAAAGACAAGTAATTTTTAAATGTCGACATGCCTTGGTTTGCGTGCGAGTAATGCTGCTGACCTAGTATCAAATATTCGCATCACAACGCCACTTTCCATATATTTTAATTACACTAATAGGAACGATGACACCAAGGAGTTTTCTTTTGCGAAGGTACACGAAATATAACAAGGGTGATTCTTGAAAAAAAACATGAATATAAAAAATAAACGAATGATATAATAGTGGATCCCAAATAATTTTGAGAGTGTCTCGAAATACCAATCCATTAGATAAATAATTTTTATTCGACCGCATGAACGCTGATATCCTGAAAATTAATGTTGAAAGAGAAGTACGCATTCTCAGATATCAGACATCCAGTCGCGATATTCAATCGTTCATATGCACAAATCTCACATTAATAGTAATTGCTACCCAAGTTTGAAAAGTTTAGGAACCAACAAACAGAAAATAACTTATCCTAAAACACAATTAAAATTCAGTCGGCAATAAATTCGTCGCCAAGACGATGCCATACAAAACAAAAAAGATTTGGTCGCGAGAGTTACGTTAGATGACTGCAAAACGACGTTGTTATTTAAGCAGAATGTAAAAAAAATTATATTTAATAAACGGGAGTTACGACGCCCTTAACACATTGTGTGTATTAAACTTCCCTGGTAAGTACTTTGGTAAGTACTATTATTATTATTATAAATTAAACGAATATCAATTATAACCAAGCCTGTCAGCGTGTTTATTTTCTGTGGGCAAGAATCGTAAAATACCATCTTGAGACAAATTCACTTCTATTATAAAATCTTAATTTTCAGTTATTATCGTTATACAAATAACGTGTGGCAACTTTTTAATTTATCGTCGACCAAAAAACCGCCCCACACTCGTCCAAACGTGTGTCGAGCTTGAACGACAGGAACAGATTCATCGACGGCTTTAATTAGGGAAAATATGTATTTTATTGGGAATGCAAAATAAATGTAACAAAACGCATTTTTTTGTGATATAACTTTGTATTTTCAGAAACGGGTTGCCGTGAAAGGTAAAATTTGATCTAAATTAATCGCAAAAATGTTTTATTTTAAATGTAACAAAACACATTTTGCGATATAACCTTGTATTTTCGAAAACGGGTGTCCTGAAAAGTAAAATATGATCTAAATTAATCGCAAAAATGTTTTATATTAAATGTAACAAAACACATTTTCGCGATATAACCTTGTATTTTCGGAAACGGGTGTCGTGAAAAGTAAAATATGATCTAAATTAATCGCAAAAATGTTTTATTTTAAATGTAACAAAACACATTTTTCGCGATACAACTGTATTTTTGGATACCGGGTGTCATGAAGAGTAAAATATGATCTGAATTAATCGTAAATAATGTTTCATTCCAAATGTATCAAATCGCATTTTTAGCGATATAACTTTGTATTTTCGTAAATGAGGCGTCACGAAAAGTATTAATCTAATGTTTTATCTATCGTCTAACTAACGTCTGGTACACATCATTTTCGGGGAGAACTCTAGCCCGCGAAACGTGATTTAATTTAAAATAGAGAATGTTTCACGCATTCCAAAACGGAAAATCACCAGTAAGTGGACAGGGTTTCATTCAACCCTCCGGATTCAGTATTCTATATCCCCTGTGTCAGAACTTTCTGAAGAATGGAACAAAGAACCCGTCAAACTGCCGCGGAAGAAGGGGAGTATTTTTTGCACTAATAATTAGGGCGTGACATTATCAAAATCGTCAAGAAACTGGTGAATTTGCAAATTCCATAAATAAAATTGTGAATTGCTCGGTAACATTTTAGCTATAATTATCGCCGGGGTATTGTTTTGTTGAAAACACGTTGAAACTTGAGGGAATTAGTTACAATTAGCGCCTGACCTCTATTAGGCACTCGAGCACTCGAAAAAAAAAGCACTCGAGCCCAATCTTTTTAGCATTAAGTCGCATACGTAAAATATCCTGTAAAAGAAGTGCTGTTCATTAACGTCATCTCGTCTTATGACCACGCAGAAATGCCTTTATTGCAGAATTATTCAATCACTATTTTAAATCAACATTCAGGATTAGCACAATTTCAGATTTGCAAAGTTTATCACCATAGAAATACATGAGAAAGTTAATTATCGTCTTAATAAATATCTGCATCATGGTATCGACAATAATATTACCATTCGCATAAAATTGGGACGGTAACTTTATAAATCTTGATAGGTAATATTAAAGCCAACGCAAATGTTAATTTGAGTCCTCAATGTATTCAACAGCTGTTGCCGATGTGAACGAACGGGTAAACCCGAAATATAAAACTTCGATGTCAGCCGACCCGCAAGAATTCATATTTGTAAAAAAGAGAGGGCGGGAATATAGATTACCAAAACCTGGATACCGCCGCCAAAACGATCGGTGACAAGAACAATTAGCGATTACAACGGAATTAACTAGTAAAAAGGCTTTGTTGCCGATTTTTTAATGTTTCCACCGACGTTCCAAAAATATTTGTTATATGGTACTCATTAAAAATATTTGATTCAAAAAATTATTGAATTTTGCCCACCCGTACTCGCATATCAATGAAAAATAGTTGTGTAAATATCGCAAAATTCCGGAAAATGCCACGTGCTTTCAACATTGTGATTACAATAAAATGGCACTTAATGGTATTTTGTGAATTTGGTGATTTTGTAAATCTGTGACATGCTGCTAAAAGTTTCGTCTGATTTGAAAATCGTGCACTTTGGTCACAATTCATTCAAAGTGACTATAACACTTTACTAACACTTTTATAGTCATTTTGAATTCATCTATATCATTGATAGTCACATGACCACTCTTGTTCAAAGAAACGCACTGCGTAGTGCGTAGTATTCCAACATCTTTGCGGGAGAAGCAGAATCGGTGTGCTTGTATAATAATCATATTATAAACAAGAATTTTGCCGTTAATGCAAAAGCTTTATCTCATATGTCTGCATCTCATAGGTTAGAATTCCGGTAAATATCGTTATGATATGCAGAATTGAGTTACAAAAGTACTAGTATGTTACTTATTTGTCAACTTAATACTCGAAAATGTTTGTTAACTTTGAATTTTTATTCCATTCAAAATCGGAAAAAAGTGCTATTTCTCTTCAAAATCGGAAAAAAGTGCTATTTCGCAGTCCCTAAAAAAAGTTGCGAAAGTGCTTCGCAATTTTCGCAAAAAAGTGCGCTAATAGTGAACACTGATATACAGCATGGGCAAGGAACCTCGGTGGCCTAACTGGTCTTGCATACTGACCCTCACAAATAATGATCTACCAATTATTTATTGTTAAATTATATTTTATTCCATGTTGCTTCAAATGTATTATAGTGTTGACATTGTCTGTGCCCTGTGGTAATAAAATCTCTCTCTCTAATGAAACTTCTCTTTCATTCTTTCGAAAAATGTAATGTTTGTAGGTAACAAAACTCCTTTTGTTCTTGATTGGTTGGAAATTACCCTCACTCATTGCAGCTTGGTGTCATAAATCTAATCTAACGCAAATTTCAAATTAGCTTAAGGCTCTTGCTTGCCATACAAACTTATGTTATGGGCCACATGAGACGTGTGAGCAGTAGTTTGCCCCATACACTCGGATAATTTGACACTGTTTGGAATTGATTATACATCCAGCTTTAAAACTGTTTAACTCTTATATTTAAAATACAGCAAATACCTTCGATCATAACAGTCTGTAATGACCGTCTCAAACTCAGCTTCTGCAGACAACCAAGTAAATGTTCCTTACATAATCTATCAGTTTCATCATCTAACCTTGTTAATACTGAAAGAAGTTGTCGAACGCCCATCGGAAAACTGCAGAGATAAGATCTTCCTGTAAAAGTATGAAGAACATATTTTATGATTATACTGTAATCAGAAATAATAGAAAATTATATTTAAAGTCTATATTATAATTATCACCTGATTTTATGACCATTCTACAAGTTATCAATTAATCAAAGAAAAAAGTGTAACAATTGATGAGCACAGGCTCTCTGTTGTGCCATTCTGAATAATATTGGTCATATATTACCGTATTTATTCGATTATAACGCGCAAAATTTTGAACTGAATTTTAGGCAAAAATCAATGCTGCGCGTTATACACGAGGTCTGAGAAATGCGGTATTGAAAATGTGGTTTTAAACATCTGAAACGTGCGTGCGCTCGCGCATGCACATTCCAATGCAGGACGATTTCGTGCAAGCACACGCACATGCGACAGCTCAGCGTGCGTTTGACATTCGTGCAAGCGTTCGATTTCGTGCAAGCACACGCACATGCGACAGCTCAGCATGCGTTTGACATTCCCGCTGCGTTGAGAATATTTATTTGCCATTATCGTACTGTACTGTAGATACCCATTATATATTACCCATTATCTATTATGGCAAGACAAAAACGTTCTGCATATAGGGCTGCATTCAAACTGGAGGTTGTTGATTATGCGGAAACTCATGGAAATAGAAAAGCTTCTAGAGAATTCAATGTACCAGAGACAAATGTCAGAGATTGGAGAAAGCAGAAAGTTGTTCTAAAAGATATGAACAAAACAAAGAAAGCGCGGCGAGGGAGACAAGCCCGGTACCCAGAGTTGGAGAAGGAGCTTTATGATTGGATAGTTGATCAAAGATCTAGTGGGTACATCGTCACTTCGCTCCATATTAGACTCCGTGCACAAAAGATTTGCAAAGATTCAACCTTTAAAGCATCTAATGGTTGGGCACAAAAGTTTATGAGAAGGCATGGACTTGCACTACGCCAGAAAACAAAAATTGCACAAAAGTTGCCTCAAGATTTAGAAGTTAAGTTTTTTAAAGACGGGCATTAGCAATAGTATGGATGGTACAGAAGACGACTTGTTGTGGGATTCAAAATCAGGGTCAGAAGAAGAGGTTGAAAGTGATGTTCCCGCCGATTGGGACACTGATTTAAACATAACCCAAACAGAAATCGAACAGTTGTTTGGTGAATCAGAGACTGAATCCGATTTTGAAGAGTTTTGAATTACTGTGTGCTTTTAATAAATTTTTGTTCATGCTGTGAGTTGTTACCTTATGTGCTTACCAGTAGTTAGTAGAGAAAAAATAAAAAAAAGAATTTTATACCAATTTTCATTCAAAATTTAAAGGTGCGCGTTATACACAAGTGCGCGTTATAATTGAATAAATACGGTAAGTCACAATCGTTATTCAAAGCAATAGTATTTGAAGTTTGAGTCAAATGAGTAATGCACATTAGAAATCTCAGACTCAAAACCAGTGGATAGGATAGGACAAACATCCAAATCATATCCCAATAGCTTAATAACATGTCTAGTTGACTGCTGATATAATATAATCCCCTGCTAGATATAGGATTGATAACTTGAAGTTGAACCAAATTCCATACAACGTACACATACTACGGGAGTACCCTACTAAATGCCTCACCTTTTTGCAAAGAAGTGATCGCATTGTACAATCTAGCCGTGTATTGTCGAACAACTGAATCAGGAGATTTCAATAAATTAATCAAAGAATATCCATTAGTTTGGGATCTACATCCAAATAAATCGTTAGCGATGAAAGCATCAACTACTGTTTCACGCTGTTCCCCAGACAAAGACCTGTGGAATCAGAACACAAAAATTAGTTTAAATGATATCACATAAAGTTGACAATGAATAACACTGCATTGCTACCATGAAAAATATTAGTTTTATTAGATTTAGAAACCTATAAATTTCAAGAATAAAATTGTAATTTATAGCTATTGACAGGGTGACTTTAAAATCAGAACAAAAATAGCCTAAAATAAAAATAGTCCAACATCTACTACCGGTATTTAAATCAATCCAAACAATGTCCATCTTAATATTTCTACATTATCATATTTCATATATGCATTGATTTGATGATGTTCTCTGATTATCATAACCAGGGATGGGCAATTTAGAATACAGAATCCAGAGGATTCATATACCGAAGGGTCCAATTCGATTCCGCCTCTTTAGGCACCATGCAGCAATTTTCATATGTGTTTAATCAGAGAGCAGGGAAGGGGAAGCCCACACAAACTCGGCAGACAATCTCAGCTTCCACATTCAGAACATGAAGAGGGCCATGAATACTTGAGGTCCGCTATTGTAACCATTACGTGTATTTCAGCTTTACTATATTCAATAGTATGCTAACTCATGTTCTCGTAGGCCAAATCATTACAAATAATTTGCAAAACCAGCAAAGATAAACTCACCTAGTCAGTCTCCATCTCAAAGCCTGTAAAAGCAATGCCTTTGTTCTGATTGGGCCAGACATGAAATCTCTCTTCAATTTTGTATAATCCAAAGAAGGAAGCAGTGCCACATCTTCAGCTTCATGGATACTATAATTGAAACAGAAAATAAATCTTGGACCAAGTAATTAATATGTACTTATTACTAACTTTGATATTTTGCAAAAAACTCATTTTTAACTCTAAACTGTGGTCAAGATGTTTATTGAAAAGTGTAAGCAGGATGAAGTAAAAATTACTGGCAAAACATTCTTTTCTCATAAAGCCATGGTTTCCCAACGGGGAGGAATTCCGCCTTAGAGAGAAATTTTCAGCTCTGTGGCCGATTTCGTATTGCATTTGCTTTAGTATTATTATTATTATATAGTACTTCAATACTTTGGTACTTATTTATAAATACATCATAAACTGAACATAAGCAGGAGTGCGATAGCGCATAACACTGGCTAATCATAGTCAAGAAGTAATAACGATTCCTAATATAGGCGAAATAAGGAATTTAAAGAAAATGGTTGTCAAACACTGTCATAAAGTGATATACAATGATAACAAGCGACAAAAAATTACTTACTTATCAGGAGCAATTGAAGCTCTCAGGAGCGAAGAAGCAGTGCCAGGCCGTGTAAAATCCATGCTTGCTATATTTGCTGAATTTCCAACAACTTTGCTGTTGAAAAGTCTGGCACAAACGCTCTGTAGATATTCCACTGTTACCATTCTCCCATGAACTGTCTGCTCGAGTGAATCTACCAATTCTGCTGTGATGCTTATGAGTATGTGATAGTCTGACTGCATGAAATTAATTTGAAATTGAATGATAAAATATGAGAGTCAAGAATGTTGGTGATAGGCATTCAACAAGTTGGTGATAGGCTTTACCTGTAACTTATTAAATCTCTTCATGTAAACTCCACATCTCCTTTCCGCTTGTACAAGTTGCTGCTGTAATTGTGTGTTCGCTTGCGAAGAAACATCTTCATCTAATAACAGCCTTTCTTTGTTTTTCTTGTTAAAATTAATAAAATTCAAGCATTCAGAAAGTAGAGGCAGTGTTATGGTCTAGCGCAGTGGTTCCCCCAAAAGGGTAATTTGACAATTTTCATGGGGTAATCTAGAGTCTAGACCAGCGGTTCCCAAACTATGGGTCGCGACCCACTGGTGGGTCGCGACCCACTGGTGGGTCGCAAAAGGAATCTTAGTGTCCTGTGAAAAGACGTAGTAAGCTTCGATTAATTATACTGGTTATTAGGATCGGTGGCGACTCAAATACGTAAATCTTAAAAAAAAAACAAAAGAAATTAATTTGAATTTAAATTCTAATCTGTGAAAGTTTCCTTTTTACGATCTATTGTGGCTTTTTTCGCATAGCAGTTTTGTACACTGTATAGCCTTTCTTACCCTGTTTCCCCGAAATTTAGACCGGATTTAGATTTATTTTTTTTTTGAAGAATAACACTATGTTTATTTTTGGAAGAGGTCTTTTGCGTTCATATATAAAAAATAAAATTACATTGTAGAAAATCACAAGATTTTTTACTAAACATTATATAAAAACCGACATCCATTGTTTTTATTTGTATTTCCTATACAAAAATCAAGTGACAAATATCATAATTGTGATATCACACAATCTTGAATAGTGGTGTGATCTTCACCTTACCGCAGGCCAATGAACCCTTCCTCTCCCACACATTTTGAAATTTATTTTAGGGGTAGGGTTTAATTAAAATAATTTAGTAAATTCAAATTATTATCTTATTTTCAGGCCAGGTCTTATTTTCGAGGAAACACGGTAGTTTTGCGATGATTAGCCATTGCTGTGTTCTGTCATAAAAAAACAAAAGAAAATTAAATTAGGGGCGGACACCCTTGGGGGGGCGGCCGCTCCCCCCCCCAATAATTTCGCAAAAATTTTAATACATATTGTTTCTGCCTTACAAAATTATCATTTCCGAAAAGTGCGATAGTCAAGCGCAATTAAACGGTTAATGGTTACCGATATTATAAGTGTTTTCTTACAATAATGTGGACCAGAGCGCCTTCGAAGGACCCCGGTTTTGCACAACTAATTCTTTTTTGTACAATTTAATATGGTTTTCTCATTGTCAAAATCTTTCAATAGTGTTATTGTTGGCACTTGCGAGAGAAGTGAAAGAGGCAAACTGTATTTCATTACAGCAAATAATAATTATCGCTAAAAAAATTAAATAGATCTAAAGTTGTTATAAACAATTTTCACCGCTGAACGTATCTTTTCACGTTATGGATTTCGTGGAAGGCCCAGCATAATTTGCGGGCAAAGATCAAAGCATTTACTATGTCGAAACGCCTATTCGACTTTCCAGACCACAGAAACTATCTAAATAAGATACCCCCCCTTTTGAATTTTCCGAAAAGTGAAAAAGTTGCCGATAACACGTGCAATTGCCTTCTGCTAAAATCGCCGTTCGTTTTCATCAACGCGGTATGTTATTTATTCCGTGAACGCCCCATTGGTGTTTATTCTCTTTAAATCACAAATTTGTGCCGCGGGAACGATGATAACTATTTTATTTTTGTACTCGCACGGAAATGTGAAAACTGAAAAAGCGTGCAATTGCCTTCTGCTAAAATCGCCCATGTTTTCATCAGCGTGTTATTTGGGCCGTAAACGCCCTTACGTCGGTTTTTATTCTTTCTAAATCATAAATTTGTGCCACGATAAACAAGATAATTATTTTATTTTTGTACTTTGCACGGAGTTGTGAATTCGTGAGTTATTATACGTTCATCGGTGGCGAGGTTCTAAAGACAAAAGAAGGAGTAAAACCGCGATCTAAATTTGATTGAAAAGCGGCATTATAAAATACTGAAAATAAAACCGTAAACAATATAAGTTTTGTTGAGTTCCGCAACGGTCTAAAAACGCTTTTCTAGTCGCAAAATCGCAAAATTTCGTGTGCCTATGGCGCACATTATGTTTGGTCGCCGTTTCGGAACATACCGTCACTAAAATCGAAACACGGTTAATTGTGGGTGGGATTTGCCTTTTATCCATGACTTTAAAATTGTCGTAGAAAATTTTCGTGTTATCATTAAACAAGGTCGAAAACGCGATTTTTCCCCGGTTTGTGATGATATATACTGTAAGATAAGATAAGTATATCCATCAATTTTTATTGTACTGAAATAAATTTTACTCCATGAGAATTTACAGCAGATTTACGGATTTTTCAGGAGGTTTTATCTTTAAAAATAATCGGAGTGTCAGCATTGCGATTGAACGGAGTCAATGTTACAAGCACATCTCAAATTTGTCGAATTTGCAAAATAGAAAAAATACGGATCAAAACAATATATGATAGGCGACGGGCAGTTACCACAAATTTTTATTTTTATGTCGGCAAATGGCCGAGGTATTTTAAAATTGTGAATTGTAAAAAATTGTTTTGTTTTGTGGACGCAAACGCTGGTTAAATTGAAGACAATTAAATTAATGAAGCAAGACATTTTAAATATGCCCTTATCGGTCACGAATTGATTACTTTGCACAACAGAAAAAGCATTTTTCGTTGTAAACGTCGGCTCTTTTAACAAGTGGCGTAATCGCGGCGATGAATATGTATTTTTGATTTAACATATATTTCATACGCATTTTCATTGTACGAAATAAAATTGTACTTTTCGGGATTTTATATCAGTTATTGAGATTTTTCTAACGGCGATAACGAGTTGGCAAGACTCCAAAAATACGTATTAAAATTAAATACACCGTTTATCTCATATTTTTATGTCCACCGATGCCGTGGCATTTCAGAGAACTAATGTTTTAATTTTGACGTAAGAAGAAGCAACCGCGAGTTACGCGAGAATTCTAATAAGTATCCATAAGTTGAAAAGCGGCAATATAAAATACCAGTACTAAAAATAAAACTGTAAACAATATAAGTTTTGTTGAGGCCCGCGACAGTCTAAAAACGCTTTTCTAGGCATCGAAAATCGCAAAATTTCGTGTGCCTACGGCACAAATTATGTTTGCTTGACCTTTAAAAACATTTTGTCACTAAAATCGAAACACGGTCAATTGTGAGCGGGATTTGCCTTTTTACCAATTACTTTTAAATTGACGCCGAAAATTTTAGTGTTAACATTAAACAAAGCTGAGAATGCGACTTTTCACATCTCAAATTTATCGAATTCGCAATAGCAAAAATACGGATCAAAACAATATATAAACGGGCAGTTTACCACACATTTTTATGTTCGCGGATTGCCGTGGTGTTTTAGAGTGGCTCTTGTTTTGTTGACTCAACCGCAGTTTAAATTGAAGACAATTAAATTAATGAATTAAGACATTTTGAATATGCCCATATCGGTCTTTGATTGATTACTTTGCACAAGCGAAAAATCATTTTTCGTTGAAAAAGTCGGCTCTTTTAACAAGTGGCATAATTGCGGCGACTGTTCCGCGTGGATTTCGAGGCGGTGAATTTGTATTTGTGATTTACTTGTATACTTGTTGAAGTAAAATTGTACTATATGGGATTTTGTATCAGATATAGAGATTTTTGTAACGGCGATAACGAGTTCTGAAGAGTGCAAAAATATGTATCAAAATTAAATACATCTGGCAGCTAATCTCATATTTTTATGTCCACATATCGCCGTGGTACTTTAGTTTAGTAATATTTTTATTTTGACGTAAGAAGTCGCAACCGCGAGTTACGTTGCACACAATTAAATTAATATATAAGGACAATTTAGAATCTCGTGGATGTCATGGATTGAATGCGACAGAAAAATCATTCTACGCTTATTAAATAGGCGGCTCTTTTAACGAGCACGTAATCGTGGTGCTTGTTGCAGAAGGCAATGGGAAGTTTCGACTTTGACCCTCCCCCCCACCTTTTTTTTTTAAATCCTGGCTGCGCGCCTGAACTTGTGCATGTTTATTTTCGTATCAAATTATAAATAAAGCCCTGCAAAGTCATTGCGTGAATTCTGAATGTTATTTCGAGTTCAAATGATGATTTAATGAATCGGCAATAATGGCAATTCTACTAGTCAAATGATAATTCCTTGGTAAAATTTAGGAAAAAAATTCGCACAATAGCTTGTTACCTTGTTTTGCATTTCTAATTTTACGAAACAGCGCTAGTGCGCTTTATGCAGAACTAGGAATTGAAACAATAACCTAATACGACTCCCCAAATTTGTTATTTTCTGTTGTTAGCAAGAGCCGTGGGCTAATTCTCGCGGAATTCAAGAAATTGGTTCAGTGACGCGCAAGTCCTGTGTCCAAGCAAAGCAGCCTCGGTACTCAATATATGAGTAGCAAAATGACATTCTAATACTTAGAGAATGACATCGACAGGTTATTGTTACGTGACGATACACGGCGCAGTGTTTTTCGGTAGGCAATCCAAGTTCGCCCTCCCAAAATTATGGAAAGTGTCCGCCCCTGAATTGAAGTTAAGAGGGTCGCCATAAGCTGTGGTAATAAATAGTGGGTCCCGACTCTAAAAAGTTTGGAAACCACGGCCTAGACCGTCTAGCCGTGATTGTTATCAAACCAGAGACAATGCAAATCACTTACCACAAGTTTTATTAAAATTGGAGGTTCAGAAGCATTCAGAGCTGCTGACAAAAATCTTTCCACTCTAGCCCGGAGCTCTGGAATCCAGTTTGGCTGAATAGAAAAGACGAGGGTAATTGGGTTGGGCTAAATTTCAGATGACTTAAAAAAATTTGTACACATCACAGGTTACACATCTTGAGTTCAAATCCAATGCCCACCACTTCACGCAAAGTGAAATAAATTAGGTGGGCAATGCCGAACCCAAAAGATTCTGGTTATTCTAAAAGTGGAACATCCTCACATATCATTCAATATCCCTGGCAGCACATAAATGGCCTTGTTCAGAGCAAATGTTTGGGGAAAATGACACGAAAAGTTGATCTACTGGTTACCAACAAAACAAACTAATTTTAAGTGGATCTGGATTGTATTGTAGCCTATGTGACTGATGTTTACAAATACAGATCACACTAAAAAAAAGTTTTTTGTAGACTGAAACAATGACAATGATTATTAACACTAAAAATATCATTTAACATACCGTAAAGAGATCCTTGAATGAAGGATGCTGTATTGGGTTTGATACAAAAGGAAGAGCATAGAATGGTAGAAATTCTGTAGTCTGACTGAGTGAGGATCCTGTAAAAAAAAAAGATAATAAAATAATGCTTCAAAATAAAATTCAGATGGTTTGCCATATTTACTACTGATGTAAAATAGGATGTTATTATCTAACAACAGTTTGTAGGTGCAGTGTCGTAGTGATTGAAGCGTCGAACTTAACTATGATGGTATTGTAGGTTAAATATCCCATACCCATCACCTCAACTAGGATGTAATTTAATTGAGTAGGCGATGACGAACCACAAAGATTCCGGTCATTCCAAAATAAAGTAGATTTTACATATCAGTAGCTACTTTGTGCAGAGCCTTGTTCAAAGTGAACAGTATATAAATATGTTGTATAAAACAGTTTATTAAAAAGAATAGGGGGGGGGGGGGGTATTTGAGTAGTTTTTGACATTTGAACCGGTATAAAATCTGAGTGAAATCGATTCTCCATGAAATTATGGTTTCATTGTAACATTCCGACTCTGTACTTCCTTGCATAACAGTTTGAGTCTTATTTAATGTATTCAAGTCACCTAAAAATGCAATTTTTTTTTGGAAGTCAGGATACTCAATTTACCTCATTTTTCGAGGATAATTGAGTATACTGACATCTACCAGTTAAATGAAATCTAAGAAACCCCTAGAACCAAATCAAACCCCTTCATGAGAAACTTGGGTACATATATAGTTTATTTAAAAAAATAGTAATTACAAAAACCTTGGAACATAATTATCTGACATCACTTTAAACTTGGTATGATAGATCACGATTATGGTTTCCATAAACTTTTTACCACAAATAGGCTTTTAGTTTAAATACAAGTTCATTATGGACTAGAAATGGGTGGTTTGACTTGGTCAACAACTTCCTTGATAGAGATACTTTTTATGTTCCTATTTTGGGTTAAATCTAACACAAAATCTTTCATACACTGGTATCATACAAAGTTCATTTTATATACATCGGTGAGGACAACTTGGCCAAGGAATTCCCTTTCCCCATATTTCAACCAGCCAATCAAGGTCTTGATTTCATTAATGTCAGAATATGCTACTTATAGTTAGTCCTCTGTTATAATCAGCTGTACTATGTGAGAATTCTGCTTCATATTCTGTCTCGTCGTCAATAAAGCCGAATCTAATTCTGACTCTGTTACTGCTTTTCTGAACTATTATTATGATCTATCCATTGTCTGTTTTTCTTTTTTCTACCAATCATATCCGTTTTAAGTCTATCCTATCAGTATAATGGTGTATACTTTCAATTGACGTTATATAGTTTTCGCCTGAATTTATTTTCTGGCACGGCTGTTTTCTCATTATTACCACATGTTTTCGGAGATGACAGTGAATGTGATTTCGTCAACTAAAGCCTTTGTAAATGCACTAAGCTCACTGGTGGAGTAGGACTCTGTGCTTGGCTTGTCCACAGCTTACTTTTTTACTATTTTTTTAGTTACAAGAAAAAAACTGCTTTCTCAAATTCCTACAATCGCCCATTTTGAATTTACACTCATATTCATTAAAAATTGAAGCCTATATTGAAAGATGGACATGATAAAGGCTACAAAAAAGTGTTAGGGCTAAAAATAGTCACACAGAACCTCATATTCCTGTGTTATAGCAGTGGGAGAGGCCATTTATGCATATACCCCATTTACCCCACGGTAAATTTCCGACAGACTCAATTTACCTCGATTTTTTCAAACATCAATAAAACAAAAAGTCAATGAGTTACACAAAAATTATCTACTGGGGCAAAAAGAGTCTCTACTAGGGTACTAAAAGGCATCACAAAAAGTTTAAAATATACTATCAGAAAAGTGTCACGTGAAAGTTTCCAAAACAATTTTTTTCATGCACAAAAAAAATTTCACATACAAACATCTAAAACAATTTTATCATTGGTAGACAAGTGAGTTATACGCAATGAAATGGAAGCATAGGATATGAAATATTGTTGCTACAAAGTACAAACCATTCACTCAACATACAAAAAAGTTAGCGAGGTTTTTATACCTTGTACTCAATTAACCCCATATGCTCAATATACCCCCTATAACACTTACCACTTGTTTCCAAATATTTTTTAAATCTTGTCATTCCCTCATCGAGTTGATTGTTGGCCTGTGAAGTAAAATTCAAATAAATATTCTGATATATAGTCTAATTTTAATACCATAATCAAGAAAGGATAAAAATGTGAATGGGTTATCAGAAGTATATAAAAATTGAAAGAGATATCTCAAACATCAAATATATTGAAAAATATAATAAGGTTGATATAGTCATAATTATCACAGGTACTTAGATTGGCCAAAATTCAGAAATACCGTAATGCTACTATAGCCCTTCTCTCAATTTACCCTTTAGGAGTATAATCAAAATTTATGATAAGAAATTTATGTCTGAAAAATTAAATATTTTACTAATTTCATATGCACAATGACCGAACTAAAAAGATTTGATATCAAACAATGCTAATGATGTCACTATATAAACAAAAACAAACTTCTGAATAGAGATATTTGTCTATTCTGTTCTTTTAAAGAAAACAAAACACACAATTTATTTTTTAAGAATTATTTTAATTTCTGTACAGTAGTTCTAAATTTTATCCATTCACAAAGTTTCCCTAGTTTTTATACGCAGTATTTCCCTTTTTGACATTTTATATCATAGGCTATATCATGAAAAGGTCAATTTTACAGCACAATACATGATTCACTTCATAGAACTTAATAAAATTAAATGATTCTGCACAATGAACGTATTATTCTTTTGTGAAAAATTGCCATTTCAAATGTCTTACAAACAAAAGGCTTTCAACTTGGCAAATTCCATATCCTCACCTCCCCTAATGATGATATACGTATTGGATATACAGCAAAATGAATCTGTATATAAAACTCCAATCTTTGGCAAGTATAATCTTTTGTTCTGATATCAGTCGGCACATGATCTTCCCAGAGTTTCCAAAAAGGTTGATATTGACCAGCATCAAACTCCAGAAGAATGTTATTCTATCAATAAACATGTTTTATTAATAATAATTGCGAATGAATATCAGAAATTATCACTGAGTGAGACAAAGAACTTGGTCTTTATTATAGATATTCTTTTTTTACAGATTTATGGAATTCTGGCACAATTCATTACATTAATACTTAAGTTCTTCTGAACGATTCTTATTTGCATGTATGAATTCTGGAGCAATGACTATTTTACTTTCTGAATATTTCAATAGTACATACCTGGGCTGCCAGTTTTGATCCATCAGCCTGTTGAGAATTCCCAGCAGGAAGAGTTTTCCCCTTTTCTTTGCATTCATTTTGCAGAGCATATGATGTCTTCTCCATTCCGGCGAAAACCAGATATTCTCGAAGTAGAGAATGTATTTCATTTTCAAAGAAAGGAAGATCTGTGTTCATGGCTATGAATATTGAAACCCCCACTAATATAATATTAATAATAACTCCAAAATTATAATCTAAAAGGGAAAAAACTAAAGAGGTTCACAACTAAACACAAGGGAAGAGAATAAGGATTTTATTTCAAACATAAAATGGTTGGAGTTCAAAGCAACAATGCTGTTAATATGGCAGTTTTATAACCAATATCTCCAAACTTGCCAAAATCGAAAAATTTTGTTTAATTGAAGTACCAAGACATTGACGATACTGCAAACATCAGAACTATATTCATAACATGGGCTATAAATAAGGACAACATTCCTGAATTGAAATTCAGTATCAAAATATGTTCTGAAGTTTATCTTAAACAATGTTGTAAAATGACCTTCACTTAATTAATATAAGGTAATTATGATTGTTGTTTTATAGGAGATTGAGATAGTACATTAGCAACCAAAATTTATTCACAAGAACATCAGTCATTGATGAAGGAGTTTCAGTCTTGACATCTGATCTATCACCGGAACATATCAGGTATATAACAAATGACAGAGAAAAGCGACAAGGGTATAATTAGCTCTTTGCAATGCCGTAATAATAAAGATAAACGAAAATTAATATAGGATCTTGGTTTATTTTTCATGCTACTATCAATAACATGAAAAAATTCAGGCAACATACAAAATTGAGAAAAGCATAGCTCAAAAGTATTCTTTCGTGATAATGACAAATTCATCATGACATATTTGTTATTCTCTCTAGTCTACCATTGTGTCACCACATGAATGCATTATTGGCAGGTTTATGTGGACTCAAGTTTAACTTCAGTATTGTCACACAATGAAATTTTTAGAATTTTCTGCATCCTTCCTGAAGCGTTCATCAACATATGGGGTTCTATATGCAATTTTCATGACTTTCAGGATCGACAACTTTGATCATTCTGAAACTTTTTAGTTAAGTGTATAAATGTAACAAAACCGAAAAACTTCCCAAAGAACTCAATTTAGAAATTTTTTGGCATCGATTATAATTGTCTAACCCGACCAGTTACATGATATCTGATTTTACAGATACAGAATTTTATCAAGTCACATTATCCAGTTAGATCGTTACCGTCATATTTTTTTTGGTCATAAACAACTGCTGTAATTTTATTTCCGCCGAACCATCTACCATTCAAAGCGTTGACTGCTTTTTCACAATCATCACTTTTTGCAAATTCTACAAAAATTTTTACTATGATTTCAGCATCAACTTCTTCGCCTTGTTTTTCTTGATAGATTATAACTCGATTCACCCTGCCGAATTTTCCGCATTCTTCTGTGACTTCTCCTTCCAAATCATCATCCATTTCATCGGCTGTAACCATATCTCTAAGCACCATTACATTGCTTTCTGTTTTTCGCATCAATTTTTGCATGATGAGATGCCGTTGAGAACTTCCAGAAATACTTACATTCCCTTCTTGTTGGCTCAATGTCTGGTGTTGAAGTGTGTCGAGTTTGAGTAAAGGATTTTCTTTGGCGGCTGCCTGTGCTTGAAGCTGCGCTATTACTGCCGGGTTTACACTTTGTGTAGGTGTGGCTCCTGTAACAAGACCAGGCTGATTGACAGCCATAACAGCAGGAGCGGCTGCAAGTGCTGGATTCATTAAAGTAACGGGTGTTCCCAAACCAGTATGAAAATTAGGCATTGGTTTATGCATTACAACAGGTTGTGCAGTTGAAGCTACTAATCTCTGAGCAGCTAATAATGGATTTGCTGCTTCTTGTGCCATTATTTTGGAAGTTGCTGCCGCGGCTGCCACTGCAGCAGCAGGAGGTAAGGCAGATGCCGTAGCAGTAACAGCCGCAGCATTCATGGAAATATTTGGGGGCGTGATTGCACGACCTACTCGCAGAAGCTGACCACCAAGATCGAACATGTTCATACTAGATATTGCATCCAATGCAGACTGGAGTTTATCATATTCTATAAATCCATACCCTTTATGCTTTCGACTACCAGGTTCCCGTCCTAGAGAGCATGAAGTTATATTACCAAAAGCTTGAAATACTGATCGAATATCATCCTCATTCAAATCAGGATGTATTGAAGCAATGTACAATCTATTGTACTTCTTTGCTAATTCGGCAAGTTCATTTATTATTGGTGCTGCTTGACCAATGTTACTGGGTCTGCCCACTTTGATGTTTCTTCCAGCCATTTGAAATGATGACATCTGCTCGGTCGCAAGTTGTGCTGCCTCAGGAATTTCAAAATCAATGAAACAATATCCTTTATGCTTGTGAGTGATGGGATCAAATGACATATCCATACTTTTCACAGGACCGAATGGAGTGAAAGAATTCCTAACTTGTTCTTGCGTTATATCATAATAAATGGATCCAACATATACTCTGCACATAATAGCCAGAGCTCTTTGTCTTTGAGCAGCTTCTTGGAGGGAGCTTAGTTGTTGTTGTTGGTGCTGCAATGTTTGTTTGACCAGAACAGTTTTTATACTCTGTTCCATCGCATATTTTTTTGCTTTGGCAAGTGAGGCTTGCTGTTGAGAAGACAATGGTGGCAGTTTCAAGGGAGGAACAACTTCCAATTTTGCCATTCCTGTACCAATTGCAAGCTGATTTGTATATGGAAGAGCCATTAAATCCATTAGAATGATACAGTATCTAATTCAGTTTGGCTTACTACCATGCTTCAATTAAACAAAAAATAACCTTTAATTCAGTACGGCCAGAGAGTAGGCTAGTTGTTCAAAAAATAGTATTTCAATGTTCAGACTGTAAGGATGCGATAAAAATTTAATGCTGCCATTGGAAATCGCATAGTCTAATTCATGTTATCATAAAATCATCACTTTCAAAATAACTAACTGAATTCGCAAGTGCCTGGTTTTAGGGAGACCCCTACAGAACTACCGGTAGCCCAGCTACCAGTATTTTCATACCCGACTGCTGGACTGGTAACCGTGGGACAGGCCATGGTTAATGAGCCAGATACCGGTACGGTAATTAATCCGCCATGTATAGCAGTACCGTACCGGTATAGGCTTTCATCTTCCTCGGCATAAAAATCCTATCTCAACCCTGATATTCCATCTGCTAAATGCGGCACTGATTGACTGAAATAACCGCAAAACTGCAGAACAATGCTGGCAGTTTCTTACTTCGGGACAACCCTAAAAGGCTGAAGGCAGAAACGGATGAAGTGGAGAGAAAACTGAAGTTGGAGTGTTCCCAAAGGTGAAAAATTAAAAACACTAAAAAGCTGAACACTAAATAGAAGAAGTGGATGAAATTTCTTCCGGCGAATAAAGAGGCGGTTGAAGTCACTAAAAAGACGAACACTAAAAGGAAAAAGTGGATAAAATTTCTTCCGACGAATAATGAGGTGCTTAAAGTCACTAAAAAGCTGAACTCTAAAAGAAAGAAATGGTTGAAATTTCCTCCGACGAATAGTGAGGTGGTTGAAGTCACTAAAAAGCTGAACACTAAAAGGAAGAAGCGAATGAAATTTCTTCCGCCGAATAATGAGGTGGTTGAAGTCACTAAAAAGATGAACACTAAAAGGAAGAAGTGGATGAAATTTCCTCCGACGAATAATGAGGTGGTTAAGTCACTAAAAAGCTGAACACTAAAGGAAGAAGCGAATGAAATTTCTTCCGCCGAATAATGAGGTGGTTGAAGTCACTAAAAAGCTGAACACTAAAAGGAAGAAGCGAATGAAATTTCTTCCACCGATAATGAGGTGATTGAAGTCACTAAAAAGCTGAACACTAAAAGGAAGAAGCGAATGAAATTTCTTCCGCCGAATAATGAGGTGGTTGAAGTCACTAAAAAGCTGAACACTAAAGGAAGAAGCGAATGAAATTTTCTTCCGACGAATAATGAGGTGGTTAAAGTCACTAAAAAAGCTGAACACTAAAAGGAAGAAGCGAATGAAATTTCTTCCGCCGAATAATGAGGTGGTTGAAGTCACTAAAAAGCTGAACACTAAAAGGAAGAAGCGAATGAAATTTCTTCCGCCGAATAATGAGGTGGTTGAAGTCACTAAAAAGCTGAACACTAAAAGGAAGAAGCGAATGAAATTTCTTCCGCCGAATAATGAGGTGGTTGGGTCACTAAAAAGCTGAACACTAAAAGTAAGAAGCGAATGAAATTTTTCCTTCCGGAATAATGAGGTGGTTGAAGTCACTAGAAAGCTGAACACTAAAAGGAAGAAGCTAATGAAATTTCTTCCGACGAATAATGAGGTGGTTAAAGTCACTAAAAGATGAACACTAAAAGAAAGAAGTGGTTGAAATTTCCTCCGACGAATAGTGAGGTGGTTGAAGTCACTAAAAAGCTGAACACTAAAAGGAAGAAGTGGATGAAATTTCTTCCGCCGAATAATGAGGTGGTTGAAGTCACTAAAAAGCTGAACACTAAAAGGAAGAAGTGGATGAAATTTCCTCCGACGAATAATGAGGTGGTTAAAGTCACTAAAAAGCTGAACACTAAAAGGAAGAAGTGGATGAAATTTCCTCCGACGAATAATGAGGTGGTTAAAGTCACTAAAAAGCTGAACACTAAAAGGAAGAAGCGAATGAAATTTCTTCCGCCGAATAATGAGGTGGTTGAAGTCACTAAAAAGCTGAACACTAAAAGGAAGAAGCGAATGAAATTTCTTCCGCCGAATAATGAGGTGGGTTGAAGTCACTAAAAAGATGAACACTAAAAGGAAGAAGTGGATGAAATTTCTTCCGACGAATAATGAGGTGGTTAAAGTCACTAAAAAGCTGAACACTAAAAGGGAGAAGTGGATGAAATTTCTTCCGACGAATAATGAGGTGATTAAAGTCACTAAAAAGCTGAACACTAAAAGGGAGAAGTGGATGAAATTTCTTCCGACAAACACTGAGGTGGTTGAAGTCACTAAAAAGCTGAACACTAAAAGAGAGAAATGGATGAAATTTCTTCCGACGAATAATAAGGTGGTTGAAGTCACTAAAAAGCTGAACACTAAAAGGGAGAAGTGGATGAAATTTCTTCCGACGAATAATAAGGTGGTTGAAGTCACTAAAAAGCTGAACACTAAAAGGAAGAAGTGGATGAAATTTCTTCCGACGAATAACGAGGTGGTTGAAGTCACTAAAAAGCTGAACACTAAAAGAAAGAAGTGGTGAAATTTCCTCCGACGAATAATGAGGTGGTTGAAGTCACTAAAAAGCTGAACGCTAGAAGGAGGAAATGTACGGTAAATGATATTTTGTCCTATCGATTTTGAGGCGGTTGAAGTCACTAAATACCAAACATTAGGAGAGTTAAATAGCCTAAACATATCCCCACGGAAGAGAGATTGGACGAAGACCCTGAAAGCGGACTGATGAGTAGGCATGCCACTTTTAGATTTATGAATTGAATCGATTCAAATCGCAATTTTTTTCGAATCGGATGTACGCGATTCGAAAGAAAGAGAGCCGTTTAGCGAAGAAAAACAAACACTCCAAAAAACACCAATTGCCAGACGGGAATGTAAACGCATTTTTCGTTATTTACTTTTATTGATCTGCCTTCGTTCAATTTCAAGTTCAGCGCAACACACCCTGATCATCACTCGAGATGCTGACGTGCTGTGTGGGCAATTAATTTCCTTCAATCTGTCAGTTGAGTATTCCACTGAATGACCTAATTTTCTATCACACGCAAATTTAAATGGATCGTGTATAATTTGCAACAGCACACCTTCTCTGTGACTAAGTTATGGTACGCCTTGACATGAATTGATAAACGATCAGATACCGACTTCTAGAAAACATTTAATTTTGATTAAAATTTAATTTAAACTCCGTTGAGAGTGAAATATTTCGCGTATATATTTGAAGAGAACTATTACTGAACAAGTTCATTCGCCGGGCATGTTAATTGACGATCATGTTTTTTATCCTGACATTTACATTTATGCTATTTTATTCTCATTTGTTGTATCTCCACTTGAGTGGCGGTAAACGAAATGAGGGACCACATGGTAGAACACTTCTTGCAGCCGTAATCATAAAAGAAATGTAGTATTTTCTCCTAATTAGCGCGATACAAGCGGGGAATTAAACATTTCGGTTATATCCATCAATTATCAAAACGCACATATGGAAGTAGATAATACCTAAGGAATAGCAACTTGTGCACTGTCTTACATTAACACGCGCCAGATTTCATACCCGGCCGAGCCTAATATGCAAATGTCGTCTTACTTTAACTCCAACGACCGTGTTTGATCGAGATACAGCGTCTACCTATTATCCCTCGTCAGCACCGCGTCTATTATGTACATTTGGACTTTCGGGATTCCGAAATTAAACATAATGAAAGATAATAATGAAGCCCAAGTTTAGTAATAACAGTTTTAGCTAAAAGTATTAGTGTCTTTGATATTTATAGGAATATTTTCATTTTTTCGCAGTCGTTTTCGGTTGGAGGTTTATTTTAAATGGGTTCATTACTTTTTTGTGTTCAAGCAAATTCCTGGAAGCATTTCTTATTTATTGTAATCCAGATGCAATTAAAATGTCTTTGTCTTATTACACTAAGCTGCTAGCATAAATATATGCTCAGTATCTCCTTTTTTAGCAAGCTCTATCGCAATAATGAGCCCATATATCACAGAGATGACAAAGATCTGTGTGTACAAGTTCTCCTTTATGTATAATCCAAAGTCACAAATTATTGTACTAATATTTTGGAGATAAAAAATCTGTAATGAGCCCTAATTTAATATAACAATGAGTGAAATACCACAGTCACATATTCTGGGGTGGGACTGCTGGAACCAGTGCTGTTACTGTTGCAGCACTGTTTATGACGGTACAATAGAATTGTTTCCTGCGCTTATTTTCACAATTGAGTTGCATCAAATTGACTCAGTCCTGAGGAGATGGCCAATACCGAATAGTTCACTATTTCGAATACATTCGAAAATAAAATAAAGTAATTGGGACTTATCTATAGTATATGAAGGAATTTGCATACAATAAAATAATGGAATAACTGTTATCTACAACATGACTATATTACCATGCATTTCATGTTTGCAGATTACTGCGATATATTTTTATATATACCATGAGTTACGTTATCAGAATTAAATTAACACGGCAAGCATTTAAAATAGTGCTATCGGCCATGGATTTGAACATTTTGCGCAACACAAAATCATCCTAGTAAAAGTCCATACTTTTGAATACCAACCATTATCCAAACTATTTGCTAAAAAGCGGGATAAAGTATAAATTATATTTCTGATTTGCGACAATTTTTTCGTGAGTACGTAAATACGAATGAAAAATTAATTATATTCGGGCACTTCAATGTCTGCAAATATATATATTATATTATAACTACGAAAATATGAATCAAGAATTAATTATAATCAGGCAATTTACCACACATATAGGTACATAGATTGCCGTGGTATTGTGCTCGAATTTAATTAATATTTGATTACGTATTGATTCCGTATTCCATTCCTTGAACCTAATATCTGTATTTATAAATTTTGCAAGCAGTTCACGCACGAAGACTTTGAATAATGATGTATTAGTCAAATTGAAGTCCTGTTAGACCACTGGATCTCAACCAATGGGCCATGGCCCACTGGTAAGCCTCAGAGCCATTTTGAGGTGGGCCGCAAACATATTATAAATTACAAGGTTTGTTGATTGGAAAAATTGATTTG